AACCACCTCATACCCTTTTAAATTAACCACCTACCTTTCTCATCAACCGTCACCCACCTCATACCCTTCTATATTAACCACCTACCTTTCTCATCAACCGTCACCCACTCATACCCTTCTAAACTAACCACCTACCTTTCTCATCAACCGTCGCCAACCTCATACCCTTCTAAACTAACCACCTATCTTTCTCATCAACCGTCACCCACCTCATACCCTTCTATATTAACCACCTACCTTTCTCATCAACCGTCACCAACCTCATACCCTTCTAAATGAACCACCTACCTTTGTCATCAACCGTCGCCCACCTCATACCCTTTTAAATTAACCACCTACCTTTCTCATCAACCGTCACCCACCTCATACCCTTCTAAATTAGCCACCTACCTCTCTCATCAACCACCTCATACCCTTCTAAATTAACCACCTACCTTTCTCATCAACCGTCACCAACCTCATACCCTTCTAAACTAACCACCTACCTTTCTCATCAACCGTCACCAACCTCATACCCTTCTATATTAACCACCTACCTTTCTCATCAACCGTCACCCACCTCATATGCTTCTATGTTAACCACCTACCTTTCTCATCAACCGTCACCCAACTCATATGCTTCTATATTAACCACCTACCTTTCTCATCAACCGTCACCCACCTCATACCCTTCTAAATTAACCACCTACCTTTCTCATCAACCGTCACCCACCCGCCCACCTCTCACCAGGTATTGTGCCGATGTGTATGGCGCAGTACGAGCGCGTATTCTCCACCACACGTTTGCCTGGGATGGAGTGCGATGAGCTAGTGCACCTGGGTGCCTACGAGACGCACCACATTGCTGTCCTGCGCAAGGGCAGCTGGTTTGCTTTGGACATGTTTCATAAATCAGGTGCCGTGTTGCGTCCGTATGAGATTGAGGAGCAGCTGGAGCGTATTATCGAGATGGCCGATGGGCTCAAGCCTTCGGTGACCGAGTCGCGTATTGCAGCTTTAACCGCGGGTGATCGCACATTCTGGGTAAGATCATTTATATATGTATATTTATATATGCCTTTGAGCACACACATATATATATATATATGGGTGTGGGTGTGTGTATCTCTCACTATGACTGAAACTGAGACAGTGACTAAGAATGCGACCGGGTCGTATAGGTATGATGGATTGCAAGGGTCATCCAGCACACACACCAACAATCAATCCACCTTGACATCTCACACACGCATCTCATTACCTACCCACAGGCCGAGGCACGCCGCAACCACTTTGGCCACGGCATCAACCACTACTCACTCAGCGTCATCGAGTCGGCCCTATTTTGTCTGGTCTTGGACGAGAGCACCCCCGAAAATTCCACCGAAGAAGCGTACCTGAACATGCACGGCACTGGCGCCGACCGATGGTTCGACAAGTCCTTCACACTCATTGTGTACGGCAACGGCAAGGCGGGGATGAACGTAGAGCACTCGTGGGCCGATGCACCGGTTGTGGGACATCTGTGGGAGCACATGTGCGTAGGTGAGGCTGTAGAGGGCTGCTATACGTCTGCGGGGCGCTGTGTGCAGCGCTCGCGCGAGTACAGCCGCACCACACCCCTCCCCAAACCAAACCATCTGCAGTGGAGTCTGAACGACGCCAAGGCTAAGGCCGTCATTGACCAGGCGTATACTTCCGCTCAGGTAATGTAGTGCCGAGGTTTGGCGCGAGATAGCTGTGGTATGGGATGTACTGTGGTGAGTTGGGGGTGGCTTGTGTGATGGACAGTGGGGGTGCCCTGCGCTCCAAACGTGCGTGTGCCATATATGTTTAATTGTTTTTGTTCTATAAGAAGCAACAACGCCAGGCAGTCGATATGGTCGCCGCTTGCTCAGCTTTCTGTATACAACTATAACAGACATGCTAACCTATATACCTTCAATTTCTACTACGCAACAGGAGCTTATCAGCGACCTTCACCTGGCGCAGCTGTGCTTCGACGAGTTCGGTAAAGGTCTGATGAAGCAGTTCAATGTATCGCCCGATGGTTTCCTGCAGCAGGCACTCCAGCTGACCTTCTACAAGATACACAAGAAGAGCTGTCTTACCTACGAGTCTGCGATGACCCGAACGTACCAAGTGTGTGCTTAGTGCATGTGGGCACGTCTATAAGACCAGCGTGATTCATATACACTACGCATGTATATGTGCTCGTATCTACTGCGTGTGTATATATGCTCGTAACTACTACGTGTGCTTGTATGCTTTATTGTACTAGGTGTGTATGTATGCTTTATTGTACTAGGTGTGTATGTATGCTTGTATCTACTAGGTGTGTATATATGCTCTTGTGCACTACGTGTGCTTGTATGCTTTAATGTACTAGGTGTGTATGTATGCTCGTATCTACTACGTGTGTATATATGCTCTTGTGCACTACGTGTGTTTGTATGCTTTAATGTACTAGGTGTGTATATATGCTCGTATCTACTACGTGTGTATATATGCTCTTATGTACTACGCGTGACTATATCCAATTACTTGGGTTCTGACCTGTCTGTCTATCGAGTGGTGTTACACCTACAAGTCGGAATGTTCCAGACTTACCAGATATGTGTACCACATGAGTGGAGTACTATTCTGAGCCTATTACTTGCATATATGCTACGTATGCGCTACCTGCATGTATATGTATGTGTGTATGTATGTGTATGTATTTCGAATGGGATTGCGTCTTAGCGAAATTCCTGAACGTGGTCACTCTCCTGCAACGTAGTGTGCTTCACGCATGTGTTTCGTTTGCCTATCTCTGTGTGTTTCTCTGCCTATATCTCGGGGAACTCTATGCCGTGCCGCGAGTCGAGATGATATGCGTGCCTCTGCCTCACGTTTGTTCTCTCATTTACATACCAAGATCTATTTCCCACCAACACATCACCACAGCCCTATATACATCCACACTCGCTCCTATCACATAAGCCCCCTTGAAACCCTAAACCCTATCCCGTACGCCCTCTAAAACCCTATTCCACACACCCTATTCCGTACCCTCACACCACACAGCTGGGCAGAACCGAGACCGTGCGCCCAGCCACAGCCGCCAGTGGCGTATTCGTCAAGAGCATGTCGGACAGTGCCAAAACCAACAAGGAGCGTCTGCAGCTGATGAAAGCCGCGTGTGCAGCCCACGTTGGCCGATACCGTGATGCGATGAGTGGCCGAGGTGTGGATCGCCACTTGTTTGCGCTGTACGTTGTGTCCCAGGGTCTCGGCGTAGAGTCGCAGTTTTTGAAGGTATGGGCGGTGGGGTTGTTCGCGAAGTGTATGCATGCATGCGTGCATTGTCTGACTCTGTAGTCTGTGAGTTGAGTACC